CGCCATGCTTTAACAATGGAGGACTTCAAGGCGGCCATTTTGGAAGTGATGGATAATAAAGTATACCGTGAAAATGTCAAACGTTTAGCTGAAAGAATCCAGGATGAACCTATGACACCTCTGGAGAAGGCTATCTGGTGGACGGAGTATGTTATTAGACACAAAGGGGCCCAGCATTTGAAAGGGCCTAGGATTCCGGTGTGGCAGTATTACTATTTTGATGTTTTGGCGTTTTTGGGAGGGGTTTTACTATTGATTTTGGGGGTAGTGTATGGGATTGTTAAGTTGTTGATCAAAGGTTTTAGGAAATTGAAAGGGAAATGTTGTAAGGTTGATGAAAAGAAGAAGAAGAAAAGTAAAAAGGAGTAGGTAGATGTGATAGGGATTTTGTATGAATAAATAAATAAAAATCAGTTGAGAGATGTAAAAGGGAGTATTATATGTTGGAGAAGGGAGGGGGAAAAGAGATTACTTAGTACGACCCAAATAACAAAAAGAGATAAGAAGAACCTAGGGTGAAGCAATAGGACAGCTGGACAACTAAATGCTTACCGCTCTAAGCGTTATCTTATTATTTCTATAAGTGACCCGCAAAAAGTGGTGGGGGTAAATGCGTCCCCAAGAAGTACCTGAATAAACGCTCACTGCGGGTAACCCTACCTCCCTAAATTTACGTACCCAGGCACAAAGGAATTCTTAAATTACCAAAAAAAATCTCAATGACACTTACCCGCTGAAACAGGTACAGCCGTAATCAACCCCAGCGTAATAAACAAGTCGTAGGTGAGCACGACGCTGAAGTTCCCCAAAAGATTGGCCACTATAACCCCAAAACACAACAAAATAAAACACAAACCATTTAAAAATAATACACCTCATCCATACCTAATGATAACGCACTAGCAGCCAAAAGCGCCGGCCATGGCAACCGTTCCCAATGCAGCGTCTCCACCCCAGTGAGAAACAACGCCAAACTAAGCGGCCACAACAACGCCGCATTCAGCATGCCAATGAGCGAGAAGAACAGCGCCACCTGTCCATACGTAGCATCACCAATCACTTTCTTAAACAACAC